TTGCTTCTTGTATTAAGATGAGTAAAGCAAGAATTTAATTGCTTGTCCAGTGTGTGGAGAATCCCGTTATGAGCCGAGGAATATGTCTGTTATAAGGTAGAAAGATGTTCCAAGGAAATCTTTGTGGTACCTTCCAATTACCCCAAGATTGCAGCGACTATACATGTCTAGGAAAATAGCAGAGCACATGACATGGCATTTGAAATGCCGTGAGGATGTGGATGAAGTTATTCATCCTACGGGTAGTGAGGCATGGAAACACTTTGATGAAATCCACCCAACATTTGCTGAGGAACCTAGAAATGTTAGACTTGGTCTCTGTACAGATGGTTTCAATCCATTTGGTTGCTTTACAACACCTTACTCTTGTTGGCTTGTTTTTCTTACAGTGTACAACCTTCCTCCTGAATTGTGTACAAAGTCAGAGCATATATTTCTTGCCATGATAATTGCTGGACCTAAAAGTCTACGAAAAAACATTGATGTCATGCTTAGGCCATTAATTGATGAACTTAAGGACTTGTGGACAAATGGGGTTGAAACTTATGATAGTTTCAGGCAATAGAATTTTATCATGAAAGCTGCATTGCTATGGACTATAAGTGATTTTCCAGGTTATGGCATGTTATCTGGATGGAGCACACATGGGAAGTTTCATGCCCTTATTGCATGGAAAACACTAAAGCTTTCCAACTTCAATATGGAAGGAAAACATCATTTTTTGATTGTCATTGTCAATTTCTACCTCCTAAACATCCATTTCGTAGAGATAAGAAAAATTTTTATCTCAATAGAGTTGAAAAAAGCCGTCCGCCCCCAAGACTAGATGGTACTTTGATGGAAGAAAGGGCTAATCAGCTCCTTGACATAGTCTTTGGCTAGCCACTTCATAAACATTCAATTGCAGAATTTGGTGCTTTTCATAATTGGGTGAAACGTAGTATATTTTGGGAATTGCCATACTGGAAGGATTTATTGATTTGTCATAACCTTGATGTCATGCATTGTGAGAAGAATTTTTTAGATAACATTAAAAATACTATCATGGATGACAAGGGTTGTATGAAGGATAACACCAATGCTAGATTAGATCTACAACTGTATTGCAATAGATCTGAATTAGAATTGATACCTCAAGATGGTAGAACAACTATAAAACCCAATGCTACATATGTTCTTACTCGAGAGCAACGAGCTCTTATCTGTTAGTGGCTGAAGGAATTGAGATTCCTAGATGGGTATCCATCCAACATAGCACGATGTGTTAACATGCATGAACTTCGATTGTTTGGGATAAAAAGTCATAATTGTCATGTATTCATGCAACGTCTCTTGCCAATTGCTTTCTGTGATTTCCTCATAGATGAAGTTTGGGGTCCCTTGATTGAGATTAGTAACTTTTTTAGAGCTTTAACAGCTCCGATTATTCAAGTCAGTAACATGAAGATGTGGGAGGAAAAAATTGTTGAGACCATTTGCAAGCTAGAGAAAGTATTCTCGCCAGCATTCTTTGACTCGATGGAGCATTTGGCTATCCATCTACCATATGAGGCAAAAGTTAGAGAACCTGTCCAATTTCGTTGGATGTATCCTTTTGCAAGGTATATTTCTTCTAATATATCTTTGCATCACAATAACATTCATGAGCATATTTAATAATTTAATGTTATTAATTAATTTTCTTATTTATTTAACAGAAAAATGCATGACCTTAAGAAAACAATGTTGAACAAAAATCGTGTTGAAGCTTCAATTTGCAAGTCTAATATTCTTTTAGAAATTACCTTCTTTTGCTCGCATTATTTTGGATCTGACATAGAGACAAGATTGAATCGTTAGCCAAGAAACATTGTTGGCATGAATGATGATATGGATAATTGTTTGTCTGTCTTTAAACATCGAGGTCAACCACTAGGTGGAGAAATGCGTAGGCGTGCTTTGTCACCCAAAGAATTAAAGGCAGCAGAACTTTATGTTTTGCTTAATTGTGAAGAAGTTAATCCATGGATTGCGTATGTTCTCTAGTTCTAACTTTCATTTGTTTAAGTTACTAGTATGTATAGATTGTTTACTTCAACTTCTTCATGTAGGCTTTTTGATTATCAAGTATGTTCCGGTCTATCAGATGATCAAATTCAAATCAAACGGCAACTTGAATATATTCCTTGGTTTAAGACAACGGTAAGTAATTTATTTTAATAATTTTTATTATTAAGATCTCAATTTTTATATATTTTAGGGTTAAATGTTAAATATTTTTATAACAAATGTAGGTGCGTAGTAGAAGATATGAGGTTAATTCTCGCCTTTTGCCTTTAGTAACTGGCCTAATCAGTAACGTTAAGGTATACAATGGTTATTGGGTTAATAGATTTCAGTTTCATACTATCGCATATGGACAAAATAAAAAGACCATGAATAGCGGTGTTTGTGTGAAGGGAACCACTTTCAATGATGAGTCAAATTATTATAGGAGTTTGAAGGAAATAATTGAGCTTCGGTATTTTGACTCATATGTTCATCAATAAGTGATTTTGTTCCAAGTGTGAGTGGTATGATATCAACAAAGGCATCATGGTCCATCCGACATCTAGTATAGTTGACATAAATCCTTGGTTTAAATTACAAACAGATGAACCATTCATATTGGTCAGTTAAGCTCAACAAGTGTTTTATGCCCATTACCCATCTCAAAATCCTTGTAGAAAAGGGTGGTTTGTTGCATGTAAAATTATAGCAAGAGTAATAATTGACACTTCATCATTAGGTGATGGTGGAAATGTTTATTATCAAGATGATGATCCTCCTATGCCACAATTGGTGCAACCCTCGACTGTTTTAAATGATCATGTTTCACTAGCATCTCAAGGGGTAGAACAAGTGGTGATTAGTGAGGTCATGCAATTGCCATATGTGGCAGAGGAAGAATGTGTGGGTGAGGATGATGATGAAGAGGAAGAGTTTGATGGAACAAAAATATCGGAAGAAGAAGTTCCAAATTACTTAACCGAGAGTGATAGTGACTAAATGTATCTTATTTGATTTTTTTAATTAATTGAACAAGAGATGAAGGACTACTTATATTTTCTTTATTATGTGTTTCCATTAATGACTTTTATATTTATATTTATATCAATATACATTTATAATTCTTTATATTGATATTTATAGTG